CTCTGGCAGTACGCAGGTGCTCTATGTGCTCAGGGCCAGCTCTGGATGCACCTCCTCGGTGGGCGCCCTTTTACCACCTAACAGCCAATAGCCACGTGAAGCTCCCCTCCCCGCTTCCAATCTACCCGACTCTTACCACACTTCTCACCTTCCCCCGTAGACATTCAATCAGTCCACGTGTGTTGTCACAACTTCTGCATTCTTAAATCTAGCAGCTTTTGTCTCTCACTGCTTCTATGCGAGCATTCATCATTTTAAATTGCCTGATGTCCACACTCAGGTCGTGGGACTCTTCCTTGTTTTGTCCCCTTCCGATTTATTCTTCCTCTTGCAACCATCTTGTTTTTGTAAAATATACATAGGATCACGTGTTCAAATAATTTATGGGCGCCGTTTTTCTCCCAGCACCTGTCTTCTGTAAATCTATAAAGCTCTACCTCACAGCACGTCTTTCCTCTTCACTGTCAGCATCACAGACAGATGAACCCCTTTCTTGTGCCTGAAATCCATTGGGCTGCCCCCACCATAGCGCCATCTCACGTGACTATGTGGTTTTGCTGGCATGTCTACAGTTCTAACATCCGACCAGGCAAGGTCCCCCCTCTGGTGCAATATCACGTGTGCCCTTTCTTTATGCGTCGCCATCACAGCATTCTGCTTCATCTTACTGTACTGGAATCTGTACTATACCAACCAAACACTTTTTCCTACTAACTATGAGCTCACTGAAGGCAGCATTTACCCTTCCAGCTTTGTGTTTTTGGCTTATAGTACAGTGTTTTGAACAGCATTGCACTTGATAGATCTGTATACTGAACACATGGTAACAGTCATTAGCCAGCCCAGAATGGACGGATGGCTTTATTATGTAATATAATTTCATCCTTGGCTATATCATTCATTACTGTGTGATTAATGAACAAATAGCCCAGAACTGTCTTGCCCTATTTTCTTCAAAATGTTGCAACTAAATTAGAGAAAAGATAAATGGCAACTGTTTTTATTTCCTAACTCCAGCAATTTCAATACAGATATACTTTTTACACCCCAGGTCTTCCTGTAAAAGCACGAAGATCATAGTTAGGAGACCTGATTCAAACTCTGGCCTTGATGTCCATTAGCACACAGTAGTTAGCAGTTAAAGCAACTTTTTTTTAGCCCAAAGACAGAACAAAGTAAAATGATGCTCGCCTTCTCAGGTGATCTCACTGCAAGATGAGGTTCAGATCAATAAAATAATTTGCATGAATCAGACTAAAAACATGTTGCCATGGAATATAAGATGCATTGTATTTATTCTTCGTATTAAAATCTGGAGGGGGGCATTATTCATAATTATAATTTTAAATGTACTTTTGCATGTTTCCCAGTGCCCAAAAATAATATTTTTCCTCTTTGGAGAATAATGCTTAGAAGAATGCAGGTTGAATAGAACGAGAGTTTTTCTCACAGTTTTATGAAAATTTAATCCAGAGAGAATTTTGAAATGCAATGCAAATTATGCATCATCCTATCATTTATGAAAGAGACAAACCATAGGAACATGACTCATATTTTGGTCATTAATCTCAAGATGGAAATTTATGAGGAAGACAGAAAAAATTATGAAACTAAAGAACAATTTTAAATCAGCATAAAATCTTGCTATCAATTCAAAATTTAAAAGAATCCAAAAAGAACTGTGGTAGGGTGACACTATCTATTTTATGAAAAATGAAAACAGTATTTAATTCTAATATCTGTACTCATTTCTGTCATTCTCTGTGCTTATATAAATAACTATATAGAAATGCATACACTGAATTACATTTCAAAATACTATTTTTTATTTATTTATTTTTTTGTGGAACGAGGGATTGAACTCAGGCCCTTGCGCTTGCCAGGGAAGCACTTATTCCACTGAGCCATCTCCCCAGCCCTTCAAAATACTATTATAAGAGCTTGTTAGTGAGGTTGTTTTTTGTTATTGAAACAGGAAATAGTTTTTAATATCTGTCTTTCTCATAATTTTGGCTTAATATTTTCCAAAGGGTGACTTTCCAAAACCATGGCTATCTAAAAAACGCAAAACAATATTTTAATTTGATCTTACAAAAATATTATCAAAAATAAAGTAGAAATATAAGCCAAGTTATTTCTATTTCTAGGAACTTGGGATTTATACTAAAACTGTTACATGAGAGTTAATCAGGTTTAGATTCATGAATATGTAAATTTGACACATAGATTTGTTTGGTGTCCCCAAGCTTTCTTAGGACATTAGTTTAATTTTGAGCAGAAGAACCAGGTTACATTACATCTGTCCAATAGATGGCCAACTTACTTTACTCTTCAATGTCATTTCTGTGACTCTGTGATTCATAAAATAATTAAGCATGCTCTGTCTAATGGCTCTCACAGAAAGACTGCGCTGAAATTTTACAAGGGGCCAGCACAGGAAATCGAAATGAAAATGAACCTAGTGCACCCTTTATAATCTCTTTAATCCAATATGACAAATGTGAAAATCCAGTCTGTGTCATGGTAAGGAAAAAACTATGTTAATTTTCCAAAATGCTAAATGTCACCCTTGTGTACCCAAAGACAAGGAGCTGGATGCATGAGTTCGCCGTACACTCATGCTTGAGTTTCACCTTTAATTAGAGTGGAAAGTCCCACGCACATGTGCTCGGTCGCCCCCTTCCTCAAACACCAGTCACCTGGGCCACACTCTCTAAGTACTTATTTTTCCCAAATTCTGCTTAGATTAGCCTTCGGGATGCCTGGCACACTCATTTCTCACTTAAATTTTCTTTACATTGCTGGAACACTTTTTCCTTACTACTGCTTGTTCCTTTAGAACTATTTTGAAACACCTGCAGAGAATCAATTGTATGTGATTATGAAAAATACTAGATCGTGATATTGTGTTACATGTGAGTTCAAAACTGATTTAAGCTTTACTCGTTTCAGTTTTCTCAATATGTGAAGAGTAGCACTTTCTGTCCTTCAGACTTTTTCTATTTCTTGCTCCGTATGCAACTTTTTATCAGTTTTTATATTTATAGGTAGTTTATCAGTCACACTTTATTCCACGCATTTCTCTTACATCAGCTGATACTAGTTAAAATGATGCCGAATGATTCTAACCTGTGACAAGGAGGAAGGAAGGAGGAGCAGTGTGTAGTTTACATAACTGAAGTCATTGTGCAAACTTGGCTATATTTCAGATTTTAACTTGTGGAAGCAAAACAAAATAAAAACAAAATATCTGCTACCTATAAGAAAATCATTCAAAATATTTAGAATATAATTTACCATTGGCAAAACATGTATATATACATATATATATATATTGCATCATAAGTTAATTTTAAAGTCAGTAACATTTGTATTGACATAAGAAAAATATTTAAGGAAACCACGTTCATGTGTTGAGAATAATGTTTTGTATAGAACTGTTGATATCCCTTTTAATATTTGCAGTACAGAATAAAATAAATCTTATAAAAGTGTATAGCCACAAAGCTCACTCTATTCTATATGCATTTTGGTTCTAAAATATCTTCCTTCTGTTTTACTCTAATATTAATTTTATCTCACAATGAAAATATTCTTTAAATTAAGTAATACTCATAGGAACTATAGCATTCCTGAAAAATAACACAGTTGGGACATTTTACCAAACTGTCATGCTTCAATCTCTTCATGAAAGTTCTAAAAACAAGCAATGAAAAGACCCTAAAAACCAAGGAGAAGAGAACGCACTACCTAAATGAGTTGAAAATAAAAAAAATGGACTTATTTAAACTGATGAAACAGATAACCTCTACACACTTAAAATACCCTATTTTCAGTTTCTCTTGTCTCATTGTTAAGTGTACTTCTTGTAATGAGAGACTGTTTAAAATTAAATGATGTCCCAACCTGACATTAGAAAAGTGCTTTAAAATTCCCATTAAACATTTTGCTACTGATGTGAAAGTTTGCCGAATTTTATTCAAAAAACCATTCCAATATATTCCAGATGATCTTCAGTCGTTACCTTCACATATAAATTTCAAACAGTAGGAAATCACCCTATAGAACCAAGGAAGCTACAGGAAACAGACTCTTCCTTCAAGAATCAAAAAAGCAGCAGCATCTGAGTCACTGATCGCGTTGTCAGGGTTTCAAGGTAACGCACGGTTGGTTGCGTTTTCTTAACATTTAGCGGATCGGGAATCTTGGCGCGAATCACTGCACAACTGTTTCCTGGTAGCACCCTGTGAGGCCAGTCGTGTAGTTTCATTGTGTGGGCTAACAGATCTAGCCTGGCTGGTGTGTGAATCCAGGTGAACCATAGACTAACACGATTCGGCACCTAGGGAAGGGTTCGGAGCTCTGTGCACAGGGTGGATGCATTATGTGATAGTAGGAGACATTTACGACCCAGAATACAAGAGCAGGGCAGCCTCAAGTGACATCATCGGATCATCTGCAGTGTCAGCCAACCCCCTAGGCTATATATTCTCTCCACCACCACTCCCTGCTTTTTCTCATCATTAGCAAGCCTTCCACTGCCTTCATCTGTGTAACTGAGGCTGTACCTTCTTTAAACGCAAGCCATTAGCTTAGTGAAGTGCAAGGCAAAAAACAAAAACAAAAAACAAAGGCACAGAATTAGAAGCCAGGTTGAGTACAATTTTCACTAATGTGACAGTCGGATAAGAATAACACCGAAATATCAAAGAAGAATTTAACTTGAATTATCCAGACAACAAATGAAGAAAAGGAGGAAAAAGAAGAAAGGAAGGGAGAAGGGGGAAAAAAGGAAGATTTGAGAGGGTGAAAGAGACAGGCTGACTATCCCTCAGACCTGCTCTTGTTTTGTAACTCTCATTTGTCTGAAGCCAGGAAAATATAGGAATCTTGAACTTCCTTCTAGAAATATAAATAACAATCAATACAAAAGAGAAAGGGGACTCTACTGCCTCGTTGTGATTCTCTTGACATTTATCAGCAACTTGTCTTTTACTTACAGGCATTTGTTACAGCAAAACTGTTGGCTGTCTCGATGTTGTCCACGTGAGGTACCAGATTAAAAGGAGCTTCCGACGCATTGGGGCTGGTGTTATGAAGAAAAATCGCTAGTCGGAAAGCCGTGTATTCCTGATCTGTGTTTCGGATGAAAAGACCACCTATCAAAAACAGCAGGAAAAGCACATTCAGGACTGCCTCTTCTACATGCCCTAGCCAGCACGAGTACTGCCAAATCCGCTGCCCATCACAAGCACACACAATTAGGGAGACGGCCCTTTGTCCCTAAGTTGAAGCTCAGCTTTTTCTTGATTCAATTTGTCGGGATCAAGATGACCTCTGAGACCATTTAGTGTGTTTTGCTGTCTTTCTCTCGCCCGCCCCAGGATTCCCAGCACACCGCTACACCAGCCGGCTCCTGGCATCTCACTCTGCCAGGCATGAACGGAAGAGAGATTGACATGAAAATAAGGAAACAACTAAGGAATGCTGAGACAAGTAGGAGAGGGGAATCAGAGAGGAGGAAGGAGGAATGAACTTTATTATTTTGCAGCTCGTGGGTCAGCCTGTTTAGCTCGGCTGTGTGCACGGTGCACGAGAAATGATGCAGTGTTTGAGGCTGGGCTTAGCTGGAAGAAATTCAATAGCTGCGTCCCATTAAGACAGGCGAGAACAGCGAGAAAAGCCAAGCATGGGTGGATGGGGCGGGGGTCCCTGGAAACAGCAAAGGTAGGGAAATGGAGAAAAGCTTTACGAGGAAAATCTGTAAACAGGGACGGTTCCGGGGAAGGAATCTAACTTTGGTGTCTGCTAACCTAGCCAGCAGACAGCAAAGGCAGACGGTGCGGATGAAAACGCACCCCCAACCCCAGTCTGTTTCCGTAATAGAATGAAAGCCGCAGCGCCCGGAGAGGGGAGAAGAGGATTTCGTTTGAAAAATAAATAAATAAATAAATAAACAAAACAAACTCCTTCCTTCGTATTTTCACCCCTTCAAGGGATGAAAAGAGATAAAAAGCAATCAAGCCTCACAGAGGTGTCTCCCCCCCCCCCCGCAACTTATTGCAACCCTACTAGAAGGAGCGGGGAGCTGCGGGCAGCTGGAGCGCAGGGGCGAGGACGGGTGGTGACGGGCCGTCCTGCGGGCGCACACAGGACCTGCGGCCGAGGATGGAGAGGGAAGCGGAGGGCGAGGGAGCCGCCGCCGGCGCTGCCCCGATCGCTCCCAGCAACTCCTGCAACTCACTTTCGGGAACCGGCCTCCGCGGGCGCACGCACGCCGCGCCGGGCTTAGCTTACCTATTTGCACGCTGCTCGGAAAGGCTCCCATGGCGAGTCCCCAAAATCCAGAAAATAACAAGACAATGTGTCTGCATATAATCCTCATCTTCTTTTCTCCTCTCCCGGAGCGCGCTCTCTCTCTCTCTCTGCTCTCACTCTTCTAAGGGCTGTTCAGAGAGGCATGGAAGACGATGGCGCTAAAATTAAAAAACAAAAAGAAAAAACAAAAAAAAAAAAAAAAAAAGGAGAACGGTCCGGGCGACCTGCGGCGGTGACTACGGCCCTCAGCGAGCCCTCGCGAGCCGCCCGCTGGGCCCCGCAGTCTCCATCGCCGTGGGAGAGGCTGTCCGTCCGTCAGTCGGTGCGCAAGGGAGGCACATGGGAAAGATGGTGGTGCGCGGCCGGCTGGCGGCGGCGGGCGGGCGGAGGCATGCGCTCTCCCCGCGCCGCGCTCCCCGCTCTCGCCCCTCGCCTTGGCGCGCGCACACGCGCACACACGCACACTCACAGGCAACGCGCGCACACGGGTGCACACTCGCAGGCACACGCGCACTCACGCGCGCACACGCACCCTGGCCCTGCGTCCCCACTCACCGAGTGCGCCCTGGCCCGCTGCAGCCTGGGCTTTCCGAGGCCCCGCGCCGACCCCTGCGCTCGTCCTCCGGGTTGGCGCAGGGACCGGGCGCCGCTCTCCGGGCTTCCCGGGCGCTTCCGCTTCTCGTGCTTCTGCACGCGCTCGGGCGCCGCTCGCGGGCGCGGCCTCCAGCCCGGGTCTGGGCTCAGGGGGCGCAGCACCGCCCCGTGGCCCCGCCGCCCTGCCGCATCCTGCGGGCTCCGGAGGACGGGCAGCCCCGGCTCCGTCCCCGCCTTCCCGCACGGTCTTCACTCCGCCGCCGCCAGGCAGCGCGCCGGGACGCGCTTGGTTCCTCGCTGCGGCAGAGGTTTCGCCCGGGCGAGCAGCCCGGGGGACCCGAGAGTGCACGCCGGGGCGGAGGAGGCTAAGTGGCCGGGCAGGGCGAGGGTACGAGGGGGCAAGGGTCAGCCGGGCGGGAGGAAGGCGCTGCGTGGGGCAGGGGGAAGGCCAGCCCGAGAGGTGCGCGCCCCGGCGAGGCGAGCCTCGGGCCCCGGGTGGGTGAAGGAGAGGTTACGGCACAGGAGGGAGTGGGGGAAGCCGAGCCTTGGATCCGAACGGGACCTCTAGGAGGGGCTCCCCGGCGCGAGGGCTAGGCGCGAGGAGCCCTGTGAAGTTGGAAGCGGGAAGAGTGGCTTAGGACGACTCCTGGCCTTTCTGGGCTCTTTCCGGAAAGCTCCTTTTCAAGACCCCGGCCCCTGCGGGATGGGGAGGGACCTGGTGCAGGCGGGCGGGCGGGCGGGAGGAGGCCGCAGGGCGCAGGGGAAAGCGGCACAGGTGTGCTGGGCTTTGCAGGCAGTCCTCGGGAGGACTCCAGCGCTTCATGGATGGTGTGTGTAGCTGCCTTGACCACGGAGAAGAAAATAAAAATGAATTATCCCAGAAAGTTTTTGTGGCTACCTCCACAGTCCCCATTAAGACTGTCTTAGGTGGGGGCTGTGCTCCACCCAGGCGAGGAGGTGGCTGCGGGGGCTTCACACACTGGTTGTTGACGTCCTCTGTGCAGGCTGAGTTCTCTTGTCCAGACAGTAAGCACAATTCCCTACGCCCTGAAAGTCACCTAGGGCACTGTCTCCCATTAAATGATGATAAAGATAGCAAGCGTCAGTGTTTCTCTGACACAGAGTTTGATATGAGAGGAAAGTGGAAAGATGAAGGTAAAATTTTTGCAATGGCCCCAGTTGGAAAGCCTTCTAATATGCATTCATTTACTTGTTTAAGCTTCTTTGTTAAGTTTAATTTTGTAAAGAAATCTTGCAACAGTGACATATGACTGATCCTGGTCATATATATGGGATGCAAAGAATGTTTATGATTTGTGAACACAATACTGAATAATCCAGCTAATTAACACATCTGTCTCATCAAATTCTTGCTTATGTTTCATGTGTTGACAATATTTGGAATTTGTCTTCCTGGTAACTTCAAATTGACAAAGATATAGAGAAAAAGAGGATAGACACCGTTCATGAGAATATGAATCCAATTACTATAGAAAACTGTAGATTTCTCACAAAAACTGAATGTAAAATTGCCACATGACCTCGCAGTCCCATCTTTAGATATTTACCCAAAATATTTGGCTTCTCTATGTGGAGGAGATTTCTGTATATATGCCTGTGTCGGCTGCAGCGCTGTCCACATCTGCTGCTGTTAGCAGTCACCTGGTAGTTCGCAGATGCTCAGAATCGTTGTCCAACCTTGATAGTGCTGTCTTGTTTTCTAAATTTTGAATTTTACTTTTATAGCTCTATCATTTTTGTGTTTATCCACTTTCCTGTTACATTTCACCACAGACTGTTTTGACAAAAACAATCTCATTGTGAGTAATTGGGTTACACAAATCATACATTCGTCATTGTAGTTTATGAGGTTTTAGTCTTGCACGTCAAGTGGGACTTGAAATGTTTTGCTTTTTATCTTTTGTATCTGTGAAAACCAAGGCTGCAAATAATAGCATTCTGTTTTCCACTATGAGGAGATAGTAAGACAGACTACATAAAATTCAAGTTGAATTTAAATTAAATTAGAATTTCAAAACCCACTTGGGTAACTAGTGAAGCTCTGCTTCATGTGCAGAGGAAATTATTAACTTTTATTATTTGAAAATTGAATGATTGGGACTTTCAGGTGCTGTAACAATACCATTGATACAGCTTCAGAGTAAGTTTTTTTTTTTTAATTTGGCTGTCATAGAAATACCTAGATTAATATGACTACAGATAACAAGAGTACATTTTCTATCATGGTGATCTGTCTTTTTCTTTGTGTATGTATAATATATTGAGGTCCTACCAGGTATACTTATTTTTCAGGTGCTTGAGATATAAAAGGGTAGAAAGCAAAGTCACTGTTTTTCTTAGACAATATCTAATGTTTACAGATGCTCATTAACTGGTGGGATTGTTTGAGGCCTTACATACGCCACGTGATCTATAGAAACCAGTGGGTATCACTAGGTAGATAAGAAAGGCATATGGAGGTTATAGTTCATGTTCAAGTTCATAATGTTAGTAGATGATACAGCAGAGCTAGGAATGGAAGTCAGGTGGTCTGATTTCAGAAACCGTGCTGTCTGTGTTAAAATCGACTACGTTAATGAATTCATGGTACAGTGAAGGCCTGCACGCTGAAAAGGGAACAGGAAAAATCCACAACCATTAGAAGGTGGTATGGTCTATTTACAACATCTCAGGCTGTTAGAGTAATAATCTCTGGCCTCACAGTACAGCCTCAGCTACCTGCTTGTATTACCATAGATGCGTGAGTCAGCTTTTCTCTTGTAAAAGAACATAGATAGATAGATAGATAGATAGATAGATAGATAGATAGATAGATAGAGAGCACAATTTTACCATGCAGTACACAAATCTAATTAATAACAGCTTGCCAAAAGTTTTCATAAAAGGGCCATATGAACAAAACACAGTGTATAAATCTGACTCGGAGAAGATTTAGAAAGTGTTTACAGAAAACTGGAATCTGAACTGAATTTTGTACGAATTTATGAAGACTGTTGGGTAGAGAGAAGTTTGCTGGAGTGCGGGAGAGTGCCTGTGTCTTTCTGCACATTGGACCTCAGGCTGTGTGAGGCCAGGGGTGAAGGCGGAGTTAGGAAGCCACCCAGGGGCTGTTAGGAAACACATCTTCCCAAAGTTTTGTCATTGTGTCCTGGAGGTGGAAAAGCAACAAAATGCCATGGGTAATGCAGTGAAATAATTAGACTTGATGGAAAATAAAACACTAATTTCTAAAACAAATTGCTATTTTTAGAGCTCTATTTGCCAGAGCGAAGCCCAAGGGAACCTACGTGCCCTGTGACAGGAGACAGTCTTGCTAAGCTGTGGTGCATCTACACCATGATGCGCCACTGAATTGTGTCACCGGTGGGTAGGGAAGCGCAGTGTGTCCATATGCCACCATTGACTGATCTCAAGGATCTGCTGTTGCTCAAAGTGGTCTAGATTTGGATGCTGGGAGCCATTCCTATGTCTTCATCCTTTTGATTTTTTTTTTTTTTTAACATTTTCATGTTTATTTTCAGTATAGGATGTTCTGAGATGGTCATATGTGATCCCTGTTCTATACATTTTTCTAAAGAGCTCTACTTCCTTTCATTGCAGAATGATATTTAAATATCAAGATCTGTCCAGGGATTGAATGTAAATAATATTATTGGTGTGTCTTTATGAGAGATGATCAAAAACATGGTGAATGCTGTGGCTGAATGACAGGCAATGAGAAGGCCGGTGCAGAAAAGCATGGCCGTGTGTCCTCATTCATCTTAGTGACTGGAACTACGCTGTGTGAGTTCTGGCCCTTCTCCAGAGTCAGAATGACCATGAAGCCTAAGGGAACTGAGAAGATTCAGGAGGTCATGGTAGCCAAGGCAGCACAAAAGAAGACTTCCCAGACTGCTTCAGAAAGTGACCAGAATGAAGGGATAAGTGTGTTCCAAGTGAAATGGCATGCCTTGAGGGGGTCTATGACAATGATTTGTACTGTAATAAATATATTAAGATATACATTCACTACTTTTCCATCATATGTATATACATTTGATACACATATGTATTGTATACACATTGCATATACATATACATAATATATATATATATATATATTAATCAAGCAACTACTTTGAGGTATTGTATACCTCTAATTCTTCCTCCATCTATAAATATTTTAAGTTAAAAATACATTCATACTGATGTCTCCAATTCATGCTCAGAGCCACAGTATTAATTCTGGTTTTCCTTCTTACTTAACTGTTACCTTACTCTCTAGGATTAAGAGACTTACCCTCCATGATAAAGTAAAATATGTTTTTTTTTATCATATCACACCTACACTTAAGTTCTCCAAAAACGATTGAGTTTTAACGTCATGTATTTTGTTTTCAGCCTGTGGTAATAGCTAAAAATGTAGTAATCTGCTTATCTGTCATTGTTAATTTTTGCATTCTTGGAAAACATTGAATTTTATAAACATTATCATAGATAGATGATATTGTTTAGGATATTCTTCTTCTAAGAGGCCAGTGCATTGTACAGACTCATACCAACATTTAAATAAGTTTCTGTATGTATTACTAGCTAAATCATCTTTTGGCAGATCCTTGTTTTTATCAATATATGTATATTTTTCTCCAGTTCAGCTAAAACCCTTTTGTTTTTATGTATTTTGCTGCTAGAACTTTGTAAAAATGGAAATAATACCCTGGTGCACAAGTGAATTGCTTGACATTGTTTTCTATCTGTCTTCTACCTTTCTTGAAATCAGAACACTAATCTTGCCCCAAAGCAGTTGCTTGATTAATCTTTTGTCATCTATCTACCTCACATGGACTTTCCACGAAACTGATTGACATTGTGCGTGACTTTAATGCTGATAAATTATTTCTCTTCCGGGACCACAGAATTCTCATTACAAAAAGATTACTTTTCTTGTTTTATGTTCCTCATCCCTCTCTCCAGTCACTGTAATTGAATGAGGTCACTGACTAGAACTTGGCAGATTTTCCCTTCTCTGCTCATTCATTCCTCTTGTATTGCTAGATGAGATGTAGAAGAGGAGACCTGGGACTCCAGAGAAACAAGACAGGGACAACAAGAAGCTTAGGAAGGATGCTAGATGTTAGAGTAAGAGACCAGTCATGATAAAAATGAGGAGCTCATGTGAAATAAAAGTACCCAGGAAAAAAAATGGTTACTGCATAAATAATTCAGACAGCAAAATATAGTCTGCAAAATGTGCATTGGTTCATGAAAACCTAGTGACGAAGATCTAAGGAAGCAGTTATAATTTACTAGTCAGTGACTCAGTTGACTAACATTGGTTTCTAAGGGCTGGCGAGATAGCTCAACAGACTAAGCATCTGCTTAGGCAAGCGCAAGGATGGGGGTTTGATCCCCAGCACCACAGGCCACACCCCTGGGCGTGTTGAGCTGGCCACCAAGACTGGACGTGGTGGGGCACATCTG